ATGTACCCTCTACTTACACATGACCTCTTCTGAACATTACACTATTAGGTTTCCCAACAAGTCGCGTCGTTCCATTTCCAGACCTGGTTTTTCAACCAGAACTCGACGGTCGAGCACCATTACCTGAGATCTAGGTCGAAATTTTTTTATAGCCGAGACATTGAAAAACTAGTAGAATTTAAAGAACAAGTCATGACTAAGTTAGGAATGTACGCCTGCTGATTTTCTCACCTTCAGAATAATTTTACAAAGAAATCGTACATATCGTAGCCAACACGCCAATCCCCCACCCAACACCTAAAATCGAACTAATTCCCACAAACATTAAAACAAAACAATGACGAAAGCCAGAAAGCATGCCACACTGAAACACTCGGATACCACACAGCATCGCGAGAAACGATTAATTTGGAAAATCGCATGCCTTATCCGCCGACCAATCAAAAGAAACACGGGGGCAAAGCTTTCCGGGGAAACCATAAGAGGGAATTTTAAAGAGGCATGAATTAGTAAGGGACATCATTGATGATTTCCCTCAGGAAAATATGTAGAGCTAGTTTCGTTGGCAATTTTGTTGCTACGCTCCAAGTCGCAAACCTAAAAATGAAAAACCCGAAACAGAAGTTGGAAGAATGAACAGAATAATCTGTAGAGCAGCCCATTCCTCGAAATGATCGAAGAGGTAGTCCAAGCTCCGCGATTATCAGAAACTTCATTTGAAATAAAGCGGGGACCAATATGAAGACCACCTAATACATATGATCCGAAACACCAAAAATTCCATACTGATAATGAAGAAAATAAAATAAGGCCATTGAAAAGAGACCATGAAAAAATTGCCGCACACCACGGCGGTCGTCAATAGATTACCGCGCACCAAAAAAACGAAACCCTTCCGGCAAACAACTGTGATGCAAGTCTTGTTTTTTGACTGCTATTTTACGCCGCAGACTGTGAAGCATAAAAGTGAAGAAGTACCAGCTCCCTTGTAATGAAGCAAGACTCCAAGACTGCACTGGGCGCCAATTCGCTCCCTACCCGTCTCTTTGATGCGAGTTTCTGGCGCATAAATAGAAGGAAATGAAGAAGGTTCAGAGACAGTTACAGCATACTTAATAAGGCTTATATTTCGGTCCCTACAGATCGAAAAAAATGAGACACTTCAGAACGACCACCTCATGGGCTCATGAAATCTTGGGACGTTTTCTCTAGCATTCCCTTCGTCGCCAGGGTGGAAGATCTGTCCTTTGAGAATTAGATTTGTGCGTAAAAAGAACATGCCTACTTCCCCCTCCCCCTTCACCTCACAAATGATCGAAACATGCTGGGGTCAAGAGAGGGCACGATGTCGCCGGTTACGACCATACATTCCCCCTTCCTGTTCAATTTAATGTCTGCGGCCCAAATTTGAAATGCTTCAGATTTGTTGCGCGGTGTTCTGAGCTTCCAGTGCTAGAATTACCGGGTGCTCCAAAATCGTCTTCGCACTAAACTCGACGCATTTCCAACGAAAATTGAATTTATGACCTCCTAAACCGGTCCATGCATCCCTTCACCAGTGGGTGAAAGAGGACAGGAGGGGACAGGCGAGGTGTTCCACCTATATGCGCATTCTCTGCCGCAAGATTGACACCTGTTCATAAAGATGGCCCTTGATTTCAGGATTCACCCCATCTGTTGAAAGGCATTTGAAATCCGTTGAAAGGCACAAAGCAGTTCCGGGTCAAAATTCGTTACAAAGCCGGTTGCGAGCGAGCATTCACCAAAGATATCCTAGATGTAATTTGACAGTCCTTGACTATTCTTGCATCACACCTCCGCTCGGATTGTTCTGCACTACACTTCAATTTCCCTATATGTGAATACGCTCATAATCTATGTTATGAGGAGGGAAATCATTACACCGCGCTATGTTTCGAGCCATGTTTTGCGTTTCTTTCTTGCGGTTTACATCGGATGAGACATCTATTGCTGATGAGCATGTTTTGTTTACATATGGTGGGCTAACGTTCGTAAATGAGAACATTAATATCGCAGGTTTTGCGATACCGTTTAGCCCTGGATGTGCTACTCTAAAGCTAAAAATCGAACACTAAGAAATAGAAATCAGATTTTCATAAGCTCTCCTAGTGATTCTATTGTTGCTGCAAAGTGATGCTACCTTTTTCATTTTCTCCACCTCAGTAAAATTATGCAAAAAAGAAATTTTAATCTTGGTTGTTCCTCTTCACCTTGAGCTACTCGACTGCAAAAATGCATACTCTAGAGAAATAAGTGTGAGTGCAGCTTGTACCTCTTGAAAGAACGCGGCAGAACCAAGTGCCTATCAGCAACTGATTTCATCGCTGTCAGGACGATAACAGAACACCCGTAAAACATGAACGGCGACCTTGGAAGGTTTCGATCAGATCCCTCCTAGGAGGCGTAACAATTGCAAAGCCTTTGGATGTAACTTCGATGATAACCAGCAATTGTAAGGAATTGGCAAAGCACACCACTATGGCATGGTTCTAGTCGATGCTAAAGTAGTACAGGGGCCTTTTGATTTTGAGCGTCACGGTATACAGCGTGTGCAATTACGACCTAGACGCCATGAGATGTTAAAGGAGTAATAATTTGTTGTTAGATGGTGCGAATGATGTATCGAAGGCATTTAGCATTATAAGCGACAAAAAAAATTACGAGCAAGAGAAAGACTCTTTTATTACAAATATTTAGAAGTAATATACACGACTAGTTTTGAATAGGAAATCGTTCAGCAATGGTTTTCCAAAATAGATAAAATCTCAATTCCTGAGCCCGTTGCCACTTCCAAATGGCTTCAATAAAATGGTAAGTCCACAACGTTCCCTTCAATCCATTTTTCTTCTCCACTGATCGCTTAATCTGAGAGCAAGCTGCTTCAATGCACTGCGCATGTACATCAGTCGAAGGATCCACAAAACTGAGCGAATCATTGACGATTTCGTGTACATAACCAATATTGGCTAAGTTCTGGTAACCATGCCACGAGTCTGTTCTTACTGTTGTACCAGGCAGCACGTTGCGAAGCAAAACCTCGTCCAGCGTTGGGCCGTCCGGATTGCTTACAATTTCCACAAACATGCTCATCGTTCCACTTTCGATACCGGCTACGAGGCAAGCTCTCCCTTCATTCTGCTGTCTCTTCACTATATAAATCTCACCCACTCGAACTACCCTCCCTGGTCCGCCATTTTTGTTGACGCATGGCTGTCCAAGAAACTTTTGACGATTATGTCTCTGAACCATTGATCCCAATGGATCATCGTGTTATAATTTACGCCACACAAACGTGCTCTGTGCTCTGCGGTTCCCACATCATTTATAAACAAATATGAGGCTAGGAATAGCTTCTTCCGGCATCCCTTTAGTCCTTCGAAGAAGGTGTCTCTCAGAAATCCAATCTTGCTCTTGATTCCTGATATTCGACAAGACGCGCGAGAACATTCAAATCTCCGCCTGAATCGATGGACTCCCTTTACTAATTGTGATGCTAAAGAGCATGGTCTATTGCAATTTGGACATCTCCTTCTACGCCAAAGTAGCCCTCGATCGGCAAGAAAAGAATCGAAGTCTTCACTGGACATTGCTGCTATTTTCGGCCATTCGTTGGACATGGAGAACTCACGCAGCGAACAATAGGTTGGCATTCTGTGAGCCCGTTGTGCCTGAAAAGAAGCACAAGCAAAATAAGTCAGCAAAGGTGGGGGACGGTGCGAAGAAAGGTGAGCCAGCGGATGAGAACTTTGTGGGGGCAGGGTGATCTCAGAGGTTGGTGAATCAATCACGCACTAATCCTTCCCCTAATCCCAGTTGTGAGGCAGGAATGAGGATTGGGAAGGGATGGAGTCCCGGGAAGGTGCATAAATCACTTACCTCGATGTATCTGCCTCTCCCGGGTGCGGAACATTTGGCTCGTCCAAGCTGGCACGCGGCGAATTGCGCGACGTGACGAGGCTTCGCGGGATCTGTAGTGGAATTCAACACGTCAAAGCGCCTGTAGATTGCGGATAAACTCCATGATTCTGCGTTTTGGAAACTTTCCGCGCATGGAGCTTCGAAGCAGCGGTGTCGGTGAGATTTCGGCGCAAGGAGAGGACATTCATGGAATTTCTACTACCGTCAAAGCGAGTAAGAATCGCTGAAATTAGAGATTTTTGCTGATGTAATTACTTAGTGAGAACTACATACGTTTTGCCGGTTGAGGTGCTCATACCTTTAGCGGGAACATTCAGAACAGGGCCGATGGTAGGTGACACTACGCCTAAGCCCAGGAGTTTGAGAAACGCCCGAGAATACAAAAAGCCTCCCCAAAATACTTTCCCCTCCCCAAAGCTCAGTTCCAAACGTAATTGGTTCACTCACTCTATCCTCCCCTCTCCCACCCCCCCCCC